TATTTTAAATCCTTCATTTGCTGATTTAAGGTAAGCAAAGGGGAATATTAAACTAGGAACTGGTCATAATTTGAAAACCAATTTCAAGTTCTGCTCACAAAAAAAATATTTGAGTTCTTGACTAACAAGAAAATTGTCTCATTGTATAATTCAAAAATTAATGTTTATGATGTAAGTCTATTTTTAACAGCTGTAGAAAAGATTCTGAAGTCAATAGAAATGAGATGACTATTGTATACATCAGGAAACTACAATTCAAGTCTGTACATCTTAAAAATCTACAAATAAAATTGTACTTGGAATTAAGTCTCACTTGCAATTTATAGTACATGCAGCACTTGGGATATTAAAAAATAAGGTAGGCACTGGTGGTAGAAAGCCAGTATGAGACAAAATTTAAAACAGATCATTCCATGTTACCACAGGAGTACAAATGAGTACTTTTATTCAGTTAGCTCCCCTTACAAAGACTAGATTCTCCTTCCTGCTTCGGAAAAAAAAAAAAAAAAATGTCTTTTTTAAGCCCTCTGAGCTCTCACGAAACTGTCATTACCTACAATCATCTTCACCTCTGAAGTACTTCAATATGCACCACACAGTTTAGCTTTTAGTTTGAGGCTATTCTGTCACCTGTGGGTCCCTCATGTACCGTTTCTGCCTGTGTGGCCAGGCCGCAGGACCGTGGGTGGCACCTCTTTACGACAGTAGGGTGCATGGTGGTCAAGAGGGCGACGTCACCTACTTATTAGCCTGCGACCTTGGGAAAGCTGCTTGATTTTTCTGAACCAGAGTTTTGTTGACTATAAAATGGGGACAACGATACTGTCAACCTCCTGTAGTAGAAGACGGAATGAAATATTTCACAAGTGCCTAGAGTAGTACCTGGTACCCAGGGAGTCCTCAGTACACAGCACCCTACTGCTCTTCTCACTCCACATATATCTGCTGACTGCTTATGGGAAACTCTGAATCTTCTATCAGGTCCACGGGCAAAATATAATTCTTAATCTGAATTTAGAGGTTCCATATTTTATATCAGCAGTTTTTACAGATGATCTATCTCTCCTCATCTGGGGAATCTTCTGTGATTCATTTGTTCTCTTTCTTTCATTTACAAGTCTAATATCTTGGAACTCAGGATCTGATTTACAATCTAATCTTCTAAATAACTGAAAGATGTTTTGTTATCTTAGAGTCAGTCTTATGGAGCATTAATTTTGTTGATCCTTTTAAAGAAAGTTGTTTTTTTCCTTGAATAGTTTTCATTATATACCATAAGACACGCTGGAAAATAGCTTAAAACTCAAGATAAATAAACATTTGTAGTAATAAATGAAGACAGAGATTTTTGTAAAGTCAATTATAGCACTCAAGTCTACAGCTTTTAATATTGCTCTTTCAGTTTTAACCCCAACCCAAAAGCCTCAATCTAAGAATGTCACTATTATTATGGTTTGAATTTCTTAGACAAAGAGATTCTGCTTATTTCAAATGCACATTTTTACAAGCCATTTGGCACCACTTTAAATTGGTATCACATTAAATTGATGCCTGGCCTTTTTTTATTAGAATACGTTGTGGTGCTCAATGATTTGTATTCATTATGGGGAGAAGGTACATCTACATAATGTCATCTTAATTCTATTTATTCTTCTCCCATCCCTTTGCCCTGCTCCTTCCAGGAACCTCTCCTACCTTTCAAAGATCTATCTCCCTCTTTCAAATTGTCTGTCTTTTCTTTTGCTCTTTAAATCATTTACACTTTGAGTTTATCATATTAGAGAAGTTACCTCATGATGTCCGGTATTTTGAGGGTAGACGATCCCAATTATTGTTGGGGACCAGCCATTATATCCATAGATTGGAGGGGGCCAATCTTGCAGTCCCAAGATTGGTGTTAACTTGCCACAGAAAGAAAGAAGTCTGTGCAAGGTTATAGACCTCCAGGCTACGTGGGAAAGCCATAATCACAGCTCTTCTGAGACAAGAAAGCATCTACTGAGGGCAATTTAAAATGCAGGCATCCAGGTGTGGGGAAGGCCCCTCCCTTTGAAATTTGAAATTTACTCCCTATCTTACTACCCTAATCTTACTGCAATCGCTGTTCCTGGAAGAGTATACTACCCCTCACCTGCACTTCTTGCTGAATAATAAAAGCTGGCTCACCCTGGAATTCACGGTAGCCTGTCCACTATAGACAGCTTCCTCCCAGTCCCCCACTGCACATTGAATATTGTTTCTGTCTCTTTTATTCCCCATCATCCTCCCTCAGGTAATCGGGGATCTAAAGAACTCATAATAAATGATAAGAGCTCTAAGGGGGTTCAAAATGTCTATTTGGACTACTGTAATGAAAAACCTTAACGATGTTGATATATGTTCTGAATCACCTAGAATACTGCATGAATTTTAACTGTTTCCACCATTATTAGCAGCAGTATCCTCTTTAGCATTCAGGAGTACCCTGGTTTGACAGGTAAATCATATGATTACTGAACACAAATGTTTTAGTGGGTAGGAATCTTTGACTTTTGTTTTTATTATCTGGAAACCTAGGCTTCTAGTCAATCAGCCATTCATGCAGCTCAGGCCAGCTGTTCCTGCCTTTATATTTTGCTATGTAGTAGTCATGCAATGGCAAATAAATAAACATGGCTCTAACTCTTGGAGAATGCAACTTATTGGAGGAGATGAATTAAATAAGTACGTCACAGAATGTTGAAATGCCTAGGTGAGGCTCAAGATGCTGAGATAGCCTATAAAATATAAGCCATGGGAGGTAAGGCAGTGCTTATAGAAAGTAGGAGTATACCTGAGCCATTTTTGTATGACAGCAGGATGTCATTTCAATTTAACATTGTGTTATATTCAGTGTTTGAAGGTATTCTTAGGCCATGCTCGCTTATCAAAGTTCACTTTTTTGGATGTCAGCAACCAAAACAGGCTTGGATTGGTAATTTTGGGGAGAATGAAGAAATATAACATTTGGACAGTGTCTCCTTGGACTACAGACATAAGGCGTTTCTTTTTCTCAGAAAGAACTGTGAAACACCTAAAAGCCGTAGAAGAGAAGAGAGAGTGCTTGAAAACAGGATTTCTAGGTGTTGACACAACACCAGGTGTGTAAATTCACCTTAGCAATCTTGTATGATTAACTGTCTTGCTTTCTATTTAACTGTGGCCTGAAGAGCACATTTCCAATACAAATAAACCCTTCCAAAGATGGAAAATCAAATAACTCCTTAAATTTACAGGGCCAGGGCCAAAAAAAAAAAAAAAAAAAAAAAAACAAAAAAGGAAAAAAAAAAAAAAAAAAAAAAAAAAGCGAAAAAGGATAAGAAAAGAAAAAAAATGGTACCTGCATAATCTATACATTGTGATGCTACATTTTCCCCACAGGCTCCAGACAAATCCAGATAAATTACAGATAAATGTCAACTGCTTGTGGACTAATATTTCATCTAGCCAATTTTTTATCAAATGAGACAAAATTGTACATTAAAACTCAGTAAAGTCTTCCAAAGATTAGAAATGACAGTGGTGGATTTACCTGTTGATTTTTAACAAGCTTTCATTAATGTATATATTTATTTCACATGTGTAATTCATGTGAGTTGATACAATACAGCTCCGACTTTGGTGCAGAGAGATCTGTATTTTAATCCCTGCCATACCATTTATTAGCTGTTTGTCATTGGCAAATCTTTGAGCCACACTTTCTTCACCCGTATAAAGGGAACACTAACTGACCTATGGAGCCATTTTTGAGGATTAAGAACTTAAGACAGTGTAAAGTAAGGCACGGCACATAAGTCTCAGTAAACTGTAGCTGCTTTATGGTGATTAGGTTCACAATGCTTATAAATAAACCTGTGTCATAATTTAAGGTCTGCAAACCATTTTTTTCCCACAATTAATATTGGTAAAATAGCTTCTCTGTCATTTATCACGGGTTATTGTAGGAATCAAATGACATGCTATGTATGAAATTATCAAGAGTCATAATTTCTTCTTTATCGCCCATGTGGGTGTATAGCTTCTTACATTATCCGTGTGTGTTCTTACCACAAATGCTGTAAGCGCAGGAGACACACTGTGTTTTGTCCTGCTTCATCAAGGGTTTATGTAATATAGTTGACAACATAAAAGGAAGATGTTAGAAACTCACGGTTTCTCTCCAAGGAATTTTCTTTGTTCTCCTCCTATTCCTGTCCCTTCCTGTTCGTCCAAATTTCTACTTAATTTGTCCACTTAGTGGTTCCATTCCTATGCCACCTTTTCTCCTCTTTGTCTAGGCTGTTATAAAAAGTACCAGTCGTCACTGATTCTGACGAGATCGGGCAAGTTCAGGGTGGTGTGGCCGAACACAGTCATTGATTCTGTTACTGGGAACTTGGGCACATTAAACTCTGTTTAGGTCAACGTTCTATAGCTTTCTATTTCCCGGGGCAAAGTACTGGACACCCATAAATTAGAGCAGAAGTTTGCTTTGGTTCACTGTTTCAGAGATTTCAGTCCATGTTCAGGGGGCTCCAAGGCAGAAATATCATGGTAGTAGGACGTGACAGGAAAACTACTAACCACATGACAGCCAGGAGGGAGACAGCAGAAGAAAAGCCTCGAGAAGAAGGGGCCGGGACCAGACACATTCCCAAGGTCACGACACACTCATCCAGCTGGGCCCATCAGCCCATTCAGCACTGGTTTAACTCCCGGAGGACATCAGTGCCTTCACAATCTCATCGCCTTCCAGCAGCCTCTAATCCAGTCAGCTTCACAAGCAAGATTAGCTAGGAAGATGTTAAGAAGGCTCAGATTTTCTCCCCAAAGAATTTATCTGTGCTGTCTTTTTTTTTTTAATCTGCAAAATGGGGACAATCGCCCTACGTTACAACAGTGATGCAAGGAGGACGTGAGCATTAAATGTCATGCTCGGAAAGGATGTGTTGAATGAGGCAGGTTATGGACTCTCTCCTGCCCATTCAGGTCCAGGCTCTGACCTGTGAATAATGCGCTGGCTCTGCAGGTAGTCCAGGGCCATGGCCAGCTCACAGATGAAGAGCTTCACCGTGTCCTCCTGGAAGTGGACGTTCTGCTGCAGGTGATAACGCAGGTCTCCACCGAGCAGGAGGTCCACCACCATGAACATGTCTTCTTCATCTTGGAAGGAATACCTGGAGTCACATTAGAAAAAGAAATACGACATGCTTGTAATCCCAGCACTCTGGAAGGCAGAGAAAAGACACTCAAAGTTAGAACCCAGCCGAGGCAATAGAGTGAGAAAAAGAGCTAAGGATGTAGCTTAGTGCAAGGCCCTGGGCTCAATCCTCAGTGCCACAAAAAAGAAAATGAATGAAAGAAAAAAAAAAAGATTTACACATGCAAGGGTCCCAGAAGCAAATATGACCTCACAGACCAGGTCAAGGTGTTCTTGAGCTAAGAGTTTAGTCTCTGTGAGCAGATGGTCTATCGCTAGCTCTCTGACCTGGATCCTCAGTTCCTGTCTAAATGGCTCTAAGAAGAATATCTGCACCGGATCATCACAAAGAATCAATAGGATGAGTGTAACACTTCTTGTCAGGGTTGGTGTATAGTGAGTACTCATCTCTCCTAACACCTTGTCATAAAGCTGAGGAAATACAAAACGCCTCATTTATACCTTTATTGTTTACATTTGAACCACACTGTTGCAGGAAGTCCATAAAATATGAACTCTGAATCCTCCTTGTACCACACTCAGGTCCCTTTTTCCATACTAATAAGTTTAGTGTCAACCAGTATTTCAACAAATTATGTTCCATATTAATAAGAAGACAAAGATATAAAAGGGGCAATAAAGACGCGAGAACAGTATGAGGAAATAATACACGCCGTGTTGGGGACGGGGAAGCAAGGACAGCAACTCACCATAGAGGAAACCTGAGCTAAAGTTTGAAGGACAACAGTTAAAACAGTAACTACAAACTAAAGCTAACATCTCCTGGCGCTTCTGTCCAGTGGTTTTGGTGCAGCAGGCTCTGAAGTGCTCTGTTGGCTCCCAGAATGCATCACACAGGAGGAATTCAGGCACAGAACGGCTTGGGCGACTTGCACAAGGTCAAGATCCTAACGTGTGATAGAGACAGAGTGTTCTCCAGGAGGAAAAAAATGACGTCTGAAAGCCAAAAATAACATGGATTCGCGCGCAGACACTGAAGAGGACCTGCCGTGAATGGGCACGGAAACTGCGTTTCCCAGAAGCACAGGTATGGGGAGCCTGAGTGTGAGGGGAGGCAGAGGCTGAGGCCCACAGGTGGAGCCCACTCATGAGGCCCTGGATGTCACTGAAGGGTTTCAAGCAGGACACGTGAGCAGACGTGAACTTGGCAGAACGAGCAAGGGCTGAGGGTGTGGCAGAGGAAAGGAGTGCAGAGGGCAGGACCGAGCTCTGCGGTGGGCAAACAGCCTCCCGTAAAAAGAAATTCCCCGCAGTGATGTATTTTGTTTTGCTCAAAGCCCAGACATGATTTCTAGTCATAATAGAGTTCTCATTATCAACACGGTTTTTACATGCTTCTTTTTACATAAGGTCTCTGAGATCACTTTTATTTGAATTAAATAAGTACCAGAGGGCAGTACAAGGAATGCATACCAATTCCCAGTGACAAGTTCTGGGTTTAGAAAACAGGTGTAGAATATTAATGATAAGACAACCTTCCTCAGCATGTTTTCTTTTTTATATTCATCACTGTGCTAAAGAAGGAGGGGAATTAAATTTACAAAGTGAGAAATTCAATGAAGCATTAATCTGAAGCAGTGATATTCTAATGAAGACTGAGAGTCTCCAAATGTTCAACAGACAAAATTCTGTTTACCAATGAAGACTAATTCTGACTGACGTCAGAAATGCAAGTCTTGAGGAATTCAGACAGACACACAGGAAGTACTTTGTAAACCTGTGAGATATGTTTGCTTGTTATTCACTTTTAGGAAATCACATTCTTTACCTGCATGTAATGACTGCCTGGCTCTCTCTGCTACCAGTTTAGGTGGCACCAGGATAATTTCTGGGTCTATGCAGTTTGATTCACAATCCTCCTAACTTTGCCAATACAAGGTATGTTCGCTAAAGTTCATCAAGGTATTTCAGTAAGGAGCTACGGACAGGTTAATAGCTAATCACGCCTGGAACCTGTTGCACCTTAGGCTGCTGTGAGCTGTTATAAGAGAAAGCATGTTTATAGGATGTGACCAAGATCTTTTTGGGCTGGGTGGCAGATGTGGTATGGCTGGTGAACTGAATAAGGGCTCAATAGCAAAAGAGAAGAAGAAGGAAGAGGAGGAGGAGGAGGAAAAGGAGGAAGAGGAAGAGGAAGAAGAGGAAGAGGAAGAGGATGAAGAGGAGGAGGAAGAAGAGGAAGAGGAAGAAGAGGAGGAAGGAGGAGGGAGGAG